GTGCTCTGATTGGCCAGCTATCCAGTGTGTTGTGATTGGCTGAATACCTCAAGCGTGTGACTGAAATGTTACGCCCCTTACCATATTGTGTTTCCATGTGTCCCGGCGCGACTATACAAAACCAATAAAATCCATTACAAAGGAGGCATTTGTTGCATCCAGTGGGGACATAATTACTGATTATAATGACTTATACTGTGTTTTTACGCTTTGCGTTGCGCATTGCGCCGCGTAAACATAAAACCATGTCTGCATTTGTGATCGGAGAAATTACAAACAACAAGCGAATCGTCACTGGCAAATTCTTTAAATATAAAAAAACTTACTTACAGGCTGTGAGTCAGAAGCGCCAGACTGTCCTTGCAAAGTTGCAACTGCCCCACTTTATAGAAACATTATGTCCTCTTTTGGAAGGCCAAACAAAGTAGTTTCGCTTTCACAGTGAAACACACAGCGAGTGGCGCCCAGCGGATTCGAGCCCGGGCTGGACTCCGCTTCATCCGCGGTGAAAGCCGATCCGGCGATTGATAGCGCAAAGTTGATTTATTTCCTCAGCGACCAGCACGGATCAGCTCTAGGCATGACAAAGCAGATATCGTCCTCTTTTGGAAGGCCAAACGAAGTAGTTTCGCTTTCACAATGAAACACACAGCATCTCCACAACATGTCGGCGGCGGCGAGAATAAAAGTTACGCCGCCTTTCTTTGCGTGAACATTAGGGCGGTGTGATGCAAATCTTCCCACACAGTGACGTAGACATGTGGGGGCGTGTTTAAACGAGGCGTTTTAGGAGGGCGTGGTTAACTCAACTTTTATAAAGAATATCTCTTTGGATTTGAGACTTTAGTCTTTGCAACTTAACAGATCTTCTTTATGCACCAAGAGCTTGTAACACTCCAAAGAGAAAGGAAAAATTTAAATCGCATCATATGACCCTTTTAATGTCCCTGATAATCTCAGTAGTCCCATTAAGCCACTTGGTAGCTTGTAACTTGGTAGCCAACTTGCCCTTTTTAAAAGCTTAAATAAATCACAAGGGATTTTTATTACAAGTCATAGAATAAAACGGGAAAATATCTTGAGCTTGTGTTAACCACAGACCTTATTTCAGGCGTTTAACCAAACCCATTAAAAAAAACCCATAGGCTTCAGGACGATGGAACCGAAAGTGCCAAAATGCTAAATCGTTTCCGTTTTTGGCCTACAAAAGTATGTCATCCCTGCAACACTCTATTTGCAAAGCCTCGTGTTGTTCCAAGCTTGTATAAATGCCAAAACATATATATTTTGAAGAACATTCGAGACCCTTAACTTTCATTATATGGACAAAGACACTAAGACATGTTTCAAAACGCCTCAATTTTGTTGCACAGAAGAAAGTCATACAAGTTTGGAATGACATGAGGGAGGCTTTGAGCAATGTCAACTCAGCAAATGTTATCAGTCCTGCATTAGCACTTCTTTTAAGCAGTCATAATGACCTACATGTCGAACCGTATTAACACTGAAAGGAAACATGACCTTTGCTCTTTTTCAGATCAGATTGTGCTGTTGATAATGGCGTTTATCTGCATCTCACGCTCGTAGCGGTGGAGTGGGATACTGGTGTTTAATGATTGCTTTCATGCGCTGCCTCCAGGCACAGAACTTGTTTGATGGCTGTAACAGGGTGCTAATTGCTACTGTCCAGACTGGACTTTTGCAGGGCGTCAAAAGGCAGGAAATTGCTTCACTGACTTCAGAACATAGTATAATAATAGAAGCTCATGGATGTCGGATGTAGAGTGAACGTGATTTTATCTCGGCGCTCTTTCGCTCACTTGCATTTAATGCTTTGCCTTGTATGGATGGCCTGCATCAACCAGATGAATGATGTGAAGTTCAATAGCACACACATGTTGTCAAGTTGCATGTCTGTTCTCCACCTGACATTTACTCAATCATCATTTATACCATGTTAAAATACTCGCACTGAGCAACAAGGAGACCAGACTTGAGTTACTTGGTCTAGTGGTACAGTTTTGCAATGAATTGAGATAGGTGGAGTTTTCAATGGCTGATACTGATAATAGGGGACAGTGGCCAATGTAATAGATAACAATGACATGCACTACCAGTCAAACGTTTGGAAACCCTTGACTGAATTAAGTTATTATTATCTTTAAGACTTTCTGATTTAAAGGTTTAGGTTTAAAGGGATAGTTCACCCAAAAATGAAAATTCTGTCATTAATTACTCACCCTCATGTCGTTCCAAATCTGTAAGACATTCGTTTATCTTCGGAACACAAATTAAGATATTTTTGATGAAATCGGAGCTTTCTGACCCTGCATAGACAACAATGTAACTGACACGTTAAAGGTAGTAAGGACATTGTTAAAATGGTCCATATGACATCAGTGGTTCAACCATAATGTTATGAAGCTACAAGAACGCTTTTTGTGTGCAAAGAAAACAAAAATAACTACTTTATTCAACAATTTTTTCTCTTCCATGGCTGTCTACGACACGCGTTCACAAGAGTACCACGACGCATGCGTGTGGTGTTTCTGACGTAGAACCCAGAATTACAAGCAGACAGATGCACACGTATGCCTCGTGGTACTCTTGTGAATGTGCATTGATTTATCCCTTTAAATGGTTGAAATAATTTTGTAGCCAAACTTTGTAGTTTTGTGGTCATTTTATGTCAGTAAATAAAATAAGTAAACAAAATTGCTGTAAAACCAAACACTTGTTTTACCAGTGTTTACCCCATGATCCCAATACACATTATCCATTTAAAAGGCTGTTGGTAGATCTTGGAATTAATTCACTTCTCTTAATCAGCCAGGCGGGCTCAGTAATGATCTAATGCCAATATATTTGTCTTTGATGTAGAAAACTTGCTTAATTTTCTTTCTCTATGCTTTTTATAAATCTGTATGTCAAGGTTTATTCATAATCTTCAGAGGAGTCAATAATGCACATGGTAAATCTCAGCAGAGATTATCGACTTTAATATTCACAGCTTTGACCTTCTGTGCTAAATCTTTTACTCTGGAAATGTACTGCCCAATCCCAAAATCTGGCATATGACAGGGAGTCCTGCTCACCAGCTGTATGTTTCTTTTTAACATGACACAAGGGCATATAGTTTTTACAGTGGCTTGGTTATTTGAATGTAAAACCTGTTTGTAATGTTTCTGATTCAGCTTGTCGCATTGAAAACCTTTTTAATTATCAGCATTGAAAGGATCAGACTCTGAAGGAATTTTCTTCTTTAACTTTCTCACTGGTTCATTGGTTGCTCTTGAGTTCATTGGGCTTTTGTACAGATGTGGGTGTACTGATGTGGCGCCGACATGCTATTGACTGCAAATTTTTAAAAAGGATATGATTATCAGCCTCTTCATGTAATCAAGATCAAAATGACATCCATTGTAACCACGTCTCCTTTTGTACAATACTTTTGATCTTCACACCGTCAATGATGTGAATGTTATGTTGGATATCACAGCTGTGATTCATCATGAACATAGACAAGAGCAATATATAAGAGCATATTAGACCAATCAGAACTAAACATTTTGTTATCCAGAATATGTTTTTTCCCTCTATTGCGCAACAGATTGCAGGGAAATCCCTTAAAGGGGTCTAATTCAACTTTAGTTAGTCTGTAATGTTGCTGTTTAAGCATAAAAAAGATCTGCAAAGTTACAACGCTCAAAGTCCACTTCAAAAGGAGATATTTTATTTAACAGAAATCACTTTTCAAAAACTACAACGAATGACTTGTTTGGACTACAACGCATATTTTCCGGGATTTGTGATATCACAAAAATCTTCGAATGGGACGAGACCTGGTTGAGCTGCACTAGAGAAGGCAACGAGTGTTATCACTATGTCGGAGACACTCTAGCTTTCCCAAGGCAGATGAACTTGGAGTGGTTACAATCATCCGGGTTTAAATCGCGCTCAAATTGATTTGATTTTGACCCAATATTTACACTGAAGCTCGCAGGCGGCTATGGTAAGGGGCGTGACATTTCCCGACCAGGCACCGAGTGCTGCCAATCACAACACACACTGGCCCAGTTAACCAATCACAGCACACACTGACCCAGCTAACTAATCACAGCATATTTCGTATTTCAGAAGGCGGGCCTTCATTTGATACAGGAACTATTCGAGCCGTTCATGCCAGACTGGGGAGAGAGGTGTTGTAATAATGTAAAATATGTGAAAAATAATGTGTTTTTCGAACAACCTAGTATGAGAGCCTGTTGTAGTACACCCCCAAAACAAAATCAAGACTTTGTAAAAGAGCATAATAGGACCACTTTAAAGTTACTGTTTAGTTTGTCTAATTCAGTGAAAGCATTGCTGTTATTTTTAAAATGGTTATCTTTATCACTACCCTGAATTTATACTTGTAGTTCTACAGAAGCCGTATAATGTACATTCTCTCTACCTGACTCTAACGAACCAGATTCACAGACAAAGACATTTTTTGTTCTTACAATTCTACTTTCATGAAGCAGTTGGTGTTGCGCCAACCACAGAGTGGGGCCACTAAATGGGCAGCACATGCGCTGATTGGATAGTGAGGCAAAGTGTTTCTGCGCACACATATATCTGACACCTATTTCCTCCCAGAAACCCTAGCAGCAACCCAGAATCCAGGAAGTGGTGGCTCACCAGTGGATGTCTTGCTCTTTCGCTGAGAGACATTTGCGCAGCATGTTTCTTCAAGGAGATCTCGGGGACAGTGTTATCCGCTATGTCAGGCATCAAATTTAGAGGAGTATGCTCGGATAACTTGGTTAGATCCAGCCTAGCTCATCGAGATGAGACTATGATGCAATTGTTAGCATTTGCAATGGACTGATATTGATTTTGGCTTCCTGCTTCTTGATATTGTTAAGCTTTTTTAGCTTTTGTCTCCTCGTCAACCATGAGTTTACCACGGAAGGCCACATTGGAGGACCAAATGGGGTCAAACCGGAATCCATCACGCTGTTCGTCTGGCAGAGAGAGTGCTCGTCGCTGGCGTCTCCTCAGCAGGCCTTGGCTAAAGCACCGTTCAAATTCAGCCCCTGAGGAGCCCTTGGACACACATGACCGAAGGAACCTGGCTGGACGGGACATGCGCACACAGAGCTTGACATGGTCCAGAAGCAGCAGCAGTATGGCTCGATCCAATCCTCCTATCTCCAGGGTCCACAGTCTCCCGGACCCCCAGAGGGTCACCAACTGTGGTGTCCTCCTGGAGCATCCTAATCTTCAGAGGGACTGGTTATCTCGCAGCTCGACCCCTTTTTTAAGATCTACATCTGAACTGGGGAGTGAAATTCGTACTGAGACTCCAACGCTCAGACGGGGGCTGAGCTCTCAAATGTTTTCAGGGATTCTGCTGTCCATGTCAAGACGAATTAGTCAAATTTTAAATACCTCTCCTGAGCCGGCTGTTGGAGAACTTTCAGAAGACGGTAGGAAATTTGATTAATGTTTGAAGGCACAACTGCTCTACCATTTAGACTAGATTTTGTTTAAATACTTGAGTTTTTCTTTGTCCAAAATGGTTTTAATATTACACCAGTGTAAGTTTTCTTATTTGAGGGGTTGGTTCACTAAAAATGTCAATTCTGTCATTGTTTACTTAACCCTGTTGTTGTTCCAAACTATGTGACTTTCTTCTGCGGAACACCAAATATGATATTTTGAAGTACGATGACAACCAAACAGTTTTGGCTACTGTTTTGTATGGACAATAGAAACACGGAGACATTTCTCAAAACATCTTCTTTTATGTTGCACAGAAGAAAGTAAGTCATACAAGTTTGGAATGATATGAGAACTGTTGCCAAATTTGCATGGCAAGGGTGGCACAGAAGTGCTTCTGAAGTTCACATCTTTACAGTTTAATGTCTTAAATGCACTTACACAGCAATTACATCTGATTCCTAGGGGCTGAAGTGGGTCTGAGCAGGCATTATTTAGTCTGGCTTTATTGCAGCATTCCATCTTTACACTGAATTTTGAGCAGGCACAGAGCAGCCTTAACTTAGCTCTGTAAAGACACCTTAGGGTGAGTAAATGATGAATTTTCATTTTTGGTTGAACTATCCCTTTAAGCGCAGTCTCCACAATGATTTGTTTAAAATTTGGTTCAGTTGTTGAGTTGGTTGAGCACTGACTTTTTCAGATGTGTAGCTGCCATCCCATGTACTGTAAGTGATGGTTTGACTAACTTTAGAATGATACAACACAACGAGGCGTTCATGGGTTTGAGCCAGTCATATTGAGTTGTGTATACATCAGTTAAGGTGATATTACACTGACTTTTTGAGTAACAGGATGGTTTACATTTTAGCCTGTGGATTTTGGTTACTAACAGGGATATGAAAGTTATATATCTTTGAATCATTACATGAAAAAATGGCATATTTTTAAACACATTTTACACATTTTATAGTATTGTATTGTTAAAATTTCCTTGAAACCTTGAAAAAAATTATCAAATCGCAAGCTTTGTTTTGCCAACCTCTCCATTGACCCCATTAGCATTTGCATGTGAAATGGAAATACATTGAATACTGCATCTCACTATCTGAGTAAACACCTTTTCCTCTTTTAGATTCACTTCCCCCTTCCTGCTTTCCAACTTATCGCTGAACACTTCCCATTACTATTTGCATAAATGCTAATTAGCTAGCACGGAAAAGCAAATGCATAAATTTGATACAGTGGTAAACCGAGCAAAAGCATTCCCTTTGAGCTCACAGCCTCCTCACTTGCTCTAATAAAGTAATTATTGCTTTCGGCTCCTCTGGGTTCAATGCTATTCAACCGAGTTTGGAAGTGTGAATGCAGATCCCTGGGTTGGCTTGGAGTTTGTGTCAACAAACCTCGGGGTGACCGCAGGAGTCTGACCCCCTCCTAAGTCCACCTTTTTCCTCCATTCCTTTAGAAATGTAGGAGGCAGCTCACTCACCTCTTTTTGAATGCTAATACGTGTTCCTGCAAGGGTACAAACAAAGACCCTGGGCTCGCCACTTTTTAGCCTTATTACCCTTTGAAAAGCTGGGCCAGAGGTGGTCTGCAAAAGTCATGAGAAAGCACCCTGTGGAAGGCAGAAGTGTACCTTCAATAAAGCCAATTTCCGTGTTAAAGCAGAATGTACTATTTAGGTCTTTCTGACACATTAGTAAGCACAGTTTCCTCATTTAGGTCTTCTCGTCATGGGCTGGTTGCTCCAGGAATGCCCCAGCATGACAGAAACACAGTGGGTGGGGAGAGCAGCTAGTCTTAAACCTGCAGCTGAAAATGGGGCACTGCTGAATTTGCGGTCCCAATGTCGTGCTTTAACTTTGTTCTGTCGAGCAGATATTCCCACAAGAGTTGGTACACAAACCTTTGTCATTGTGCATTAACAGCAAGAGCGAGCAGGAACAGTAAAGACACTTAATCCTTTAGGATGGAAAGTGCTGCCAATAAAGAATCAACTGGCTTGAATATAGACAGAGACTGTCAATTTATTTATTTATTTTATTAATTATTTATTACACTTTTTTTTTTTTACAATTTTGTTGGGTCTTGAACAATGCCAAGAAACAACTGTTCATAGTAAAATGAATGTTTTTTTTATTTTTAACATGTTTATTCAAGTGAAAAAAGAAGGAAAAATATTATACTTTCATTTTCAAAACAACCATGTTGTTGTTGTTGTTATTTATTTTTTTCTATTAAATGTATTAGTATATAATAATAATAATAGTAAATATTTAATCAGTTAATAATAATAAAAATAATAATAATAATGGCTTTGTCTAATTAGTTGTTGTTAAAACAGTATGACAGGATCATAAAACAATAGTGGTTTTGGGTGTGAAGCATATACACAGGAGTTAATGCAGGAGTGGGGGATAAAAGGAAAGATATGCAAATGTTCCAGGCATGCTGACGGCAGCTTATTTAAATATGTAACAAAGTCTGTCAGTGGCGGATTGTCGTTCTTGTGACTTGAACAAAAGAGCATGCGCTTAGTGCCCTGCCTCTTGCACGGTCACGTCTGTGACAATGGAGGAAAGGAATACCAGCACTGCGAATTATTTAACATGACAGATGTCAGACTGTGAGAAATGCATGACCTCCTTGTGCGACAATAACGTTTGATGAGTGTAAAAAAACACGTAGCCATGAGCTAATTGCACACAAATATAAAGAAGTGAAATTGATTTTCCTCACCACGTTTTTTTTTTTTTTAACATTGCTTTCAGTCCTGATAAATGTCAATTTAAACATTGACTGAATTGCACAATAATGTAAATGATTCCAATACAAATGAAGTCGAAATGTTATTACATTCAGTTTATTGGGTCTAGTGTCCTAACCTGTGCCTGCCTGTGTAACTCATCCCTCAACAGTATGCATGTATTTAGAGGGGCTCAGCTGGGCAGAGGGCATGTTTTGTGGGCGTAGTGTCTTTCTGAGCAGTGTGGTGTTTTAACTTCTACAGGGAGTTACAACTGACTGAACAAATCCAGCCTTTGCGATTTTAGGAGGAAGATGTTTGAGTGTGCAGATTAAAGGGCAATAGCGATGGTGTGTCGTCTCAGAGCTGCTTCGCTAGAGTGGCACGATGGTAAAAGGCTTGTGACGCTGATGATGTGAATTATGAATGACACGAAGCACTCTCCTGTCACTTCGATGGTGCAGACCCACTAGCCTTATTCTGCTGTTTGCAAGCATTTTGTGTAATTTTGCTTTAGGGAAATGACCTGAAAGGACACCTTTTATATTTCTAAACGCTGTTAATGATCATTTAAAGAAAAGGGGAATCCATTTAACAGCAGGTGTTTTTTTGGGTGAGTTTGACTGGCCTGGCCTGGATTTCAAAATGGATTTTTGTTTATATTATATTATATTATATTATTATTTAGTGCTGTCAAACGATTAAAAGAAACAAACTCATCTACATCTTAGATGGCCGGAGTCTATGTAAAATGTTTAACAAATGTTTTATTTTTCGATAAACTATTCCTTTAAGTGAGAGTTAAATGGTGGAAAAGCTCACCTAAACGTAAAAATCTGGTAAATGAGCGTGGACAAATATCCAGTATGTTAAAATTAAAATCTCTAATCTTGCTTGATGACCAATATGTTACCGATATGTCATGCATCCCTACTAGTTTTTGTGTGGCTGAGCAGTGTCTTAAGTCGCAAAGTGTTTATATTTCTCTATGGTGGCGTGTTTGAGGTCATCATGGGTAAGATGACAGCGCTGCCCCACCTCGCCCCACAGTCAACAGCTGTTCCTCCCAGGCCTGACCAGTCCCTGTTAGATTAAGGATTCACCTGTCCCAGCACATCACATCCTTAACCAACCGTGTCAAAACAAAGTCGCAAATTCCCCTAAGCATTCCCACTTTGTTCCTCCAGCTGGAAGCTCCACAAATGCATCCTCGCAGAGCTGCAATCATAGCCCAATCTGTTAATTGCAGTCATTTCCTCTCTCTCTGTGGACCCAACTCCCCCAAACTCCCCAGACACCAATTAAAGCTGCTAATTTGAAGGGCTTATGAATTGCCATCCCAGAGTGAGATGGCTGTGGATGCATCTGTGGTGGGCTTACGCTGAATCTCTTATGATCTGCAAGAATTTGAGTCCTGCACTTTGCCCTGCTTTTAACTCACAAAAAATACCATGATATTGTTGCTTTTGGACACGTACAGTACCATGGTAATGGCATTTGTTTCTGGACATATGCCTTGTGAAAGCGCAATGAAAATTCAACTCGGGTGTGTGTATTTTGTCTGTTTTATAATGACTTCATATATGGCTCATTCAGTCAGAAATTAGAGCCCTATATAAGATTATATTATATTATATTATAGGTTTATATTTTTGGTTTCTAAGTGTATTTATTAAGTTTATTGAAGTAAACAATTCACTGGATTTAACCCAAAAAAAATCCATTGTTGTGTATATAGATAAATAAAAGAATAACAAAGTGCAGTAAAACTATTTGTGCTACAAACCAGTGTGTTTATGAAAATATGATAATACCACTTTGGATTATCGAGCAGCATAATGAGCTGATTATACAGCTAAAAATAACTAGAAGATGATGGCACCAGAAGCCATTCAGGTTACAAATGACTATGCGCAGTTTTGCATCAAAAATGTGTATACGCATAATGCAATTCTTAACAAAAAAATAGGCACAACATTTTTTTATTATTGTGTATTTTTAAAAGTTTATTATTTGAATATACATACTATATATATATATATATATATATATATATATATATATATATATATATATATATATATATATATATATATATATATACATATACACAAACAAAATTGGTAATAATATTAACAACAGAATGACATGTTTAGATTAAATGACCCAAATCTTCGAGACTATGGAAGTCCAGTTCTTCCAAATAGATAAAGTAGCAGGCTTTGCGTAATTAGT